AGTTGATTGCCCGCCTATTGTCGTCCCCGCTGGATCCCAAATCCAATACCGTGTTACGCAGTATAACACATTATATTATATAATATATATTGTTCTGTTTTACTCAAACGCATAGTTTGAGTAATAGGCCTTCTACAATAAGCCGCAAGTCAGAAGTTCTAAGCGATCTTAAGTCATAATCGGTGAAGTTGGCCTATAGCCAACTTGAACGACTTGGTTAAGACTGGTTAAGACTTTTGACGTTCTGACTTGCGGTTTATTGTAGAAGGCCTATAAGACCGGGAGCACAGACTCTTACATACCGCATAACACGTAATGCATAAGAAATTCAACCAATCAGAGTTCTTTATTTTTTATGGAAAGAAAAGAAACGAAGGACGTTGATTGGTATATTTTCTTATGTATTACGTGTTATGTGTTATGCAAGAGTTTGTGCTTAAGGGCCTTTCCACACAAACTTGCATAGCCGCATAAACATATGCATAAAGAAAATCATCCAATCGTAGTTTACGTTTGTCTTTATAACAGAAATGTGATTGGATAATTTTCTTTATGTATATATATGGTTCTGTGGCTCTGCAAGTTTGTGTGGAATGGCCCTAAGACAGAACGATATATATTATATAATATAATGTAACAAATGAATCAAAGATATGTGAATCAGGTGGCACCCAGTTGGACACGGCCCAATTGGACACGAGCCATTCACAGCGCTTGAGACTACAAAGCTCCTAAGTACCTGGTCGCTGTGATTGGTGGTGTCCAATCGAGCCGTGATCAATCGGGATTACCCCTGTGAATCTTAGTTCTACACACTCGGTATCGTTCGTTCCAGTAATATGACCTCAGTCGCTTATTTTTAAGATATGGAATCTAAAACTCTTATATCAAGCAAATATAGACCTGAGGTGACAGCTGTACGAGTAAATAAGCTATACCAAAAATTAATGGATTTTTTAACTTTTTTTCAATTTTTTCATAAAATCCAGTGCAGCTAAGGTCCTGTTTATGCGTACCTTAATTTACGTAATAACACTTTTGCAATCCAATCCTTAAATCCAGTTCGGAGATTTTTCACAGAGTGGAAATGATGGTAAAACAGGCGGGGTGGCACCCAGTCATGGCTCATGGCTCAATTGGACACGAGCCACTCACACCGCTTGAGACTACAAAGCTCCTAAGCACCAGTCGCTGTGATTGGTGGTGTCCAATCGAGCCGTGATCAATCGGGATCACCCCAAACAGGCGGCTATAGCATCTCTTTAACACTGAATATTTTTATACACTACGTCATGTATGTATGTATGTATGTACAGGGAATGGAAAATTACTTTTTAAAAGTAGCAAGTTACAGTTACTCGTTACCGAGTAGGAAAAGTAACAAGTTACCGTTACTATAGTTACGATTTTTAAAAATAACTCGTTACAGTTATCGTTACTTGAAAAAGTAACTTTTCGTTACTTTTCCGTTATTTTTTTTTAAATCTACGACCGCCAATCACAGCGGACGGGCCTAGGGGCTACTCTAGTCTCAAACGCTATGCACTATAAAAAATTATGTAAAATTACATCTACCCAGATAGCAACGTGCCTGTCTTGTTGTTGGCATGTTACTTGCTAAGTATGTGTTGCTACCAGAATTGCGGTAACTGAGTCCTCATTTGTTGGCAACTTGATGCCTTCACGATCTGATAATATTAAGGCCTGGTTGTTCCACCTTTTGATAAATTTTACCTGTTCGGTAAGTAGCAAGATTATCCAATCACATGCGCGGATTGCCAGATTTACCTAACAAGTAAAATTTACCAAAAGGTGAAACAACCGGCCCTAAGTAGCAACTTGTCAATAGGAGGGCTCCGATTGCACACATCGCATATTGCACACATGTATCGCTGATTGGCCAATTTAAAAATAAAATAATCTCATTGGCAAAACATTGAAAAATTACTAGGCACCAGTTGATATGAGTGGTGTGTACAATCAGAACTGTAGGCAAACGGGATCCTCCCCTTGTCAATAATTTGCCGACAACTTTAAACTCGTCATTACCAAAATTTGTACTATTGCCATTAAGTTGCCATAATAATATGCAGTATCATACAATGTTGTCGTATTGTCGACAACGCACGATAACATTGATGCAGCTATCTTGCTGTTAAACTGCTGGCAATACATATACATATTGTTGTCTGCATGTTGCTACAATGTCGGTATATTCGAAATTGTTGAAGACAAATCTACAACAAGTTGCTAGCATCATAAGCAATCACAGATTTGTGCGATTTTGTTGAGACATGCTTTGCTTATCTGGGATATCTGGATAATTTTGAGACCCATTATAATAGTTGTAAACGTCCACACGTTTGTAAATTTGCAATATGCAAATAAAAATAATTTCTTGGTCTAAGCAGATTGTGGAAGGGGTGGCACCCAGTTGGACATGGCTCAATTGGACACTCACAGCGTTTGAGACTACAAAGCTCCTAAGCACCGATCGCTGTGATTGGTGGTGTCCAATCGAGCCGTGGTCAATCGGGATCACCCCTTGTGGAAGTACAATTACAATGTGTATGTGTAGTTACAGGAACGATAATATTGTGGCGACTCGTCACTAGAGGTCCAAGAGACTCGCTCGGTTCGCGTAAGCACCGCGCCGCGCGTATCCCTTTTAAATAGAATATCATTCTGGATTCATTCCAGGCGTCTAAGGTAAGTCCCACACTACATCGCCTTACTGATGAGTCTAGTAGTGTGGGACCAGGACGAAACACTGCGGCCGATCACAAAGCTTCGAGTCAGGCCTCCTTAGTGGACATACCACATTGGTAACCCCAACGTGTGGACATTTCCACATTGGTGACCCCGACGTGATATGAACACGCGCACGCACACACGCTCATACGCACACGCACACACGCTCATACACATACGCACACACGCTCACATGCACACGCTTGCACACGCTCTTGCACACACTCACACACGCTCTTGTACACGCTCACACATAGCGGCCCCAAGCAGCATCGAACAGCACACAGAGCAGCATCGAGTAGCACACAGAGCAGCATAGAGTAGCACAAGCAGCATCGAGCATCACCGCGTTCATCCCTGATATTTATCATTCCGACGCAATGATAAATATCAGGGACGAATGCGGTGATGCTCGATGTGCTGCTCGATACTACTCGGGGCCGCTATGTATGAGCGTGTGGCGAGCGTGTGGCGAGCGTGTGTGAGCGTGTACAAAAGCGTGTGAGAGCGTGTGCAAGCGTGTGCATGAGCGTGTGTGCGTGTGCGTGTTCATATCACGTCGGGGTCACCAATGTGGAAATGTCCTAAGGAGGCCTGACTCGAAGCTTTGTGGTCGACCGCAGCGTTTCGTCCTGGTCCCACACTACTAGACTCATCAGTAAGGCGATGTAGTGTGGAACTTGCCTTAGATGCCTGGAATGAATTCAGAATGATATTCTATTTAAAGGGAATTTGCGCGGCTCGGTGCTTACGCGAACCGAGTGAGTGGACCTCTAGTGGCGAGTCGCCACAGGACTCCACCCTAATGAGGACGCGATCCAACGGATTGCGTCAGAATGATAAATGTTAGGGATGAACGCGGTGATGCTCGATGTTGCTTGGTGTTGCTCTATGCTGCTCTGTGTGCTGCTCGATGCTGTTCTGTGTGTTGCTCGATGCTGCTCGGTGCCGCTATGTATGAGCGTGTGGCGAGCGTGTGTGAGCGTGTACAAGAGCGTGTGTGCGTATTCATATCACGTCGGAGTCACTAATGTGGTAATGTCCACTAAGGAGGCCTGATTCGAAGCTTTGTGGTCGGCTGCAGCGTTTCGTCCTAGTTCCACACTACTAGACTCATCAGTAAGGCGATGTAGTGTGAGACTTGCCTTAGACGCCTGGAATAAATCCAGAATAATATTCTATTTAAAAGAAATTTGCGCGGCGCGGTGCTTACGCGAACCGAGTGAATCCCGTGAACCTCTAATGGCAAGTCGCCACAATATGACAAAATACATTTAGCACTATATATTATTATATATTTAACAGCAATACGTGAAAAATTTCTGCTATATTACATAATATTACTAAAATTTGGATAATTACAGAAAATATTCAAAATATCCAGCTATTTACATAATTTTCAATATAAAATAAAATATATTTACACAATAAAAGCAAATTTACATAATTTTTGTGGAATTACATAATTTCTGTAAAATAACATGATTTTTTATATTTACAGGACTAATCATGTAATCTATTTTACATCTATTATATGTGTAAATTTACAAAAATTTTTTACAGTGTAAGTGGCTTGTGTCGTATCGTGTCCAATCATGTACAAAGTAACAATAAAAGTAACTGTAAAATTCGTTACCGTTACCAAAAAAATATAACTTCGTTACCGTTACTGTTACCATAGAAAAAAAGTAACGCAGTTACCAGTAAAGTTACCAAAAAAGTAACTTGTAACTGTAACTTCGTTGCAAGTAACGAGTTACTTCCATTTCCTGTGTATGTATACAGGGTGACCCGATCTTTTTTGCCAATCACTTTTGTGTAGATAGAGCGGACTAAACTGAGTCGAAAAGTCCTGTACTATTTTACAATTTTCGCAATGGTTAACAAGATATTAGTTACTAAAAATTGCAAAATATTGATCTTGAATAATTTTTTATTCAAATACTATCAACTTTACAGAAAAACTGCAAGAGACAAAAATGATTTATTTTCTTCTCATAAAGTTCTGAGAATTTTTTCAGAATTTTTTTGTCAACTTTTTAGTACTGCATTTTCTTATTTTTATCAACATAAGAAAATACGGTATTAAAAAATTCTTCAAGGGACATCCTGTATATATAGGAGAAATGAAGTTAGTACTGAAGTTAGGAAATTTCCACTGCAGATACATTAAAATAACTTGATATGTTAAAGTAGTTATAAAATAATTTTATAAGCTAATAAATTATATCTCTCTACAACAGTTTTGGTACCATCACTAGCATCAGAGTCTATTTGCTCAGAGTACGCATGCAATTCTATGTTATCTCAATTGTTAATAGAAAACTCAACTAAACCATTCAGTAATAGTTCACAAACATTATATTGTAATTCTGAGCAAAAGGAACAATATAATCTTGATAAAAGAAGAAAATTACAAGAAGCAGGTATTTTTAAAATTTTGAATTATAACTTTTTTTTATTTATAATATGTTTATATGGCCCAATATACATCAAACAATCGAAAAAGAAACATGATAAATTTTTTATCACATTCTGTGTGCCCTATATACAGTGTGCGTGCCCACATACACACAAACAAGACTATAATCATATATATAGCATATACTTATATATATATATATATATGCATACATGTTTTTTAAAGTGATGCTACAAGTCAAAGACAGACTAGGTCGATCTTGGCGAGATGTAGCTAGACATTTAGGTGTTACAGAATGTGAAATCGATGCTACACAAAGTAAATATCCTTATGATTTGAAGGAGCAAATCTATGAGGTAACACATTTATAATAAACACTTAAATGGTGTGTGTGTTTGCGCGCGTGCGCGCGCGCGTGTGTACTACATGACATATGCTTAGGCAGACATCTAAAATATATACTCAAATTAAATTTGATACTGAAATAATTTCTGTTTAGATTTTAAAAATTTATATATTGCAATCCGACACTGAGCAATGGGCTATAAATCTAATACGTGCCTTAGAAAAGGGAAGACGGAGAGACATTAAAGAACTTGTGGAGGAATTAATATTAAAAAATAGTAATATATGATATCAATACAAGATTTTTCTACGTGTATTATTAAAGCTAATATATATATTTCTCTTTTTGAATTGACACTTTAACTTATCCTGTTTTCCAATCAAATGTGACATAATTGAACAATGAACAGATTTGATAGTATATAATAGATAATTTAATGTACAAAGAAGTTATAATATAACTAATATAACTTCTTATATAACTAATAATTTCTTATATAACTTCTAATATAACTTCTAATATAACTTCTTATATAATCTTATTTAATACTTATATACAGTAGTTACAATTATACTCAAGAATTTTTTATAGATATAAAAATGTCTAGTGGCATATGCTTTCGTACTTTTATTTATATCGATTATATTATAATTGTAACTACTGTACATAAGTATTAAATAAGATTACAAGGATTTATTTGTCGAAAAATAAGATTGCACAATTACATTTAAAAACATAAACTTATTCAAATCATATAGTCAATTAGTCACAAAAATACAGCAGCCCATGTGCGTATCTCATCAATTATAGGTGAGCTATATGTATTCTATATTTCTTAAAGTAAATCTTTATATTAATAATATATCCGTCCATTTCATTTTAATGTGGTTTATTAATTTTAATTTAATCTGTTATTGTAGAAACGTAACTCAACAATATAACATGCTTTTGAAAACAAAATTTTTATTTTTTTATTTTTTAACATAATGCAAAGATATATTTTCACACAATTTTATTATCTGATGATTTTTCATATTAACACATTTAAATGAACAACTTAAGGGTGATATCATGAATTTTTAGTGATATTTAAAGTGTATAAGTATTTTTTGTTTGACTCCCAGCTTTCACCATAGTATCTTTATGTACTTGATATCCCATAGTAGTTTTAGATGTAATCCTTAATCTTTCCTTGAGTTTCCGGCTAAAATCACAAATTATCATACTAGTAAACTCGAAAAATTAGGGACAAAAAATTAAAGTAGCTAGACGTCTTACCCAATTTCCATAACACTATCTGCACAATCTGCATTCGATGTCCAGACACCAAGTTTGTCTCCTTTTGGCCTGACATTTACTACGGCTCCGCAAACATCATCAGAATATTCATTGAAGGCTTCCCCAATCATACACAGTAGAATTTCTAACCAAAAATTATCTAGATCCGTAGTTCTTTGCTTTTTGTCTAGATTTATTAGCCATCGTCCACCACATTTGTTCTGATCATCCTCCCACATAGGCCGAATTCCTTGCTTAAACATGCTATAGTCACAACCTTGTCTTAACTCAGAGGCTGTCTTTATATGGTTGTACAAGCTGCACATAACAAAAAAAAACGATTTTCCTTCGCTATAGTTAATATTTTACATATCTCAGGATGTTTCTTTCATGTTTATAGAGAAAAAATCCAGTCACCTCCAGAAATCCTCAGCTGTATCAAAGCTTGTTATTTCCCGCTGGCTTTCTTCCCATGTTTTAGTCCTATCAGGCTCGTAATACCACAGAGTCCAGGTGTTTTGCAATGGATGTTTGATTAAGTATTCAGGTGGAAACTCGCCAAGGCTTGCTACTTCCGTATTCTGCTTTCGATCGATTTCCTAGAAAGAATTACGTCACTGTTTACCCGTCATCAAAAGGAATCGTCTTAGGATCGCAATTCAGACGCATCGGTTCGGAAATTATGAACAACCTTATGCATGGCCGCGCTAACCTGTACGACGGTCACAACGGATTGCGTGCGCATCGTTTTGCCGGTCGGTTCCACGCCACCCCTTGCAATCGCCCGCGACATTTCCGGCGATTATTTATAAATGATCGATAGAACGCGGAGGGGCATTTTTACCGAACGAAAAAACGCTGCTCGCGGATCACTTTTTACGAGGAAGAGAGTGAGGGACGCAGAGGGAGAAGAATAACGAAAGAAATGTGAAGGATCGGAGAAAATTGTCGCACAATATCATGCTTTGTTTTCGTCGCAATCTGCGCCATGTGAACGAAATCGACGTTCCTGCACGACTCGATCCATTGTCAACATACCTCGATTTCTTCCGAAATACTCGTAGCCATGTCACTTGATATTACTCGCTATACACGACGCTTACTAACTCGCTCCGTTGAAGCCGCGCGAACTAGCAGCAAGACATCTGGTAATATTGTTGCAACTTTAAAAATTTAATCACCAGATTTCTAGTTCCAAATCAATAAACTTCTATTAAGGCCCGTCTACAATACACGGAGTAAAGCCAGAAGCAAGGCCCGTCTACAATACACGGAGTAAGAAGT